TTTGACTGAAGGTGGTTGTGACTCCAGTGAAAGAAAAAATACTGTTAAAAATCAAGTAATATTCTGGCTTGATAAATTCCTTTTAAGCATTTGGGTCAGTGTGCTATGAAATAGTCTTAAAGCTAATTGTTCATTTTTATTTTCCTGTAGCTAGCATTTGCGCATGTTTGTGATTCCTGGTTGTGGAGGGCTGACATAAAAAACTCAGAGTTTTTGAGTTCTTCGCTTTCCTGGCTCACTCAGTTTTTGAACAATAATTTAGAGTTCCAAGTGTTTTTTGCTCTTTTGAATTTTAAACAACATTCTTCAAAATATAGTATTGAAGTACTTCACTTTCAGTAATTCATTTAGCCTGGGAATGGTGACTAAAATGGTAGCTTTGGGCTAAACTGTTAGCACTCTAATAAATTCCAGCAATTAATACCTGCTGAGAATTAAAAGTGCTGTATTTTAAATAGTATTTAGCATGGTAGCTTTTAGAAGTCACATGTGTAGCATTAACCTTCATTTAATTGTAGTTCTTAATATTTTTTTCTATTTCTGTTTTAATTTCTGATAATTGTTTCAGTGAAATAATTTTGTAAGCTTTGCCCTTTAAAAAATTGTGCATGTTTTACCAGGATAAGAAATGTATATAATGACAGGCCAGTAAGCATACTTCAGGTATTGATATTAGTCATAATAATTTCTAGATAGGAAAAATTTTGCTCTTGGTTAAATAAGATGGGATATGGAAGTCAGAAAATATGGTTGGAAATTCTGTAAATCAGATAGGCAGCAAGATCAGAACCACCAGTTTGCATCTAGTATCAAAGCTCAGCTATGGAGCAGTTATCAGCAATCTAAGGGCAACCCACAAGATGATTCTTGGCATCTGGCTAATGGCAAAATTGAAAGTTAGCCATTTTTTTGGTCACCTTTCCAATTTCCCTTTCCTACCTCTCACAGTCTTTTCTTCCCTGCTCAGATTTGCCTAGTACCTTTATACTGCTCTCTGATTGGCCTGAACCCCACATTCCTAGGAGAGGAATCATGTTCCAATGGAGTGAACACTAGATTTCAAATTAAAGTACCTGGGTTCATAGCTCACCCCTGTTACTTTTTATGATTTTAGACAACACACCCAACCTTATTGGACCTCAATTTTCTCATCATTAAAATGAGAGAGTTGAATCATATGGCTTCTAAGGGCTTTTCTAGCACTCAGTCTATGGTCTTGCCTGCTCTCTGTGATAAAAACTATCCAAAGGTTCATTAATTAGGTACTGCTGCCAATCATCACATCAACATTCAGGGATAGTTATTTCTAGATTTTATTTACTCTGAGAGCACAGGCTCTTAAGTTACAGAACCAAGAGCATCAGCTCCAGCAATCTTGTATAGAATGTGAATAAGTAAGCAATATAGAAAAGATTTTTTTTTTACAGAAATTTTACAGAAAGCAAGAGAGGAAGGGTCATACATGTTTTGGAACAAGTAACAGAAGGGGAAAGATACTGACATCTGCCAGCTGGTCAAAGCTGGAGCTGTGGCTTCTTTCCCAGCCTTGATTCTGCAGGTGTTATGACCTTTGAGTTTCCAGGAACAATGTCTGAACACTCAAAATAGAGCCATGGGCAATGTCTTCTTTCTCACAGTGGTGACAGGAAGTCTGAGCCAGAGTTTTTTTCTCATCACAATCCTTCTCTTAACACAGTGGCACCAAGAGGCCTGAGCCAGAAATTGTTTGGCACATCAAATGTTTTAAAATGACCATTCTTCCATTCTTTATTTATTTAAAGACAGAATCAAATAAAGTATTATTTACTTGAAGGAAAGGATGCAGCAGGACACAGTCTACAGTTGGAAATGGTCAAGGAGAAGTTTGACTATAAAAAACTTATTGGATTTATACAAGAGTTAGAAATATAAGGAAGGATGAGTGAAAGCAATTTGGAAAGTGGACCAGTTTTCCCTCTCGTCAGTCCTTCAACCCAGATCACTTCGATACTTATGTATCTGTTATTTAAAGAAAGATTCCCAAATTAGTAATAGTAATAATCATTTATTTATATGTGTATAGTACTTACTTTTTTTTTTTTATCATTGCCACTTCATTGTTATAAGTATGTTAGTATTACTCTTCCTACTTTATCTGGTAGTTCCTTTCTGTTTTCTGTTTTTTCCTCACCTTTAAATCTGGAAAGTAAGCCTCCAAAGATTATTCCTGTTCCAAAGTTACACAGTGTGAGGGAGTAGCAGAGCTGAGGCTCAAACCCAAGTTTCCACCATTCTGTGCTCTTCTGCTATACTACACTACTATTTTTGGTCTTAGTGCAAACGGTAATTGTTCATTTAGATGATGCTTTTCCCTCAGTTATAAGTACTGTATTTGGAAGTGTTGCCTGAACCTATGTCTACTAAAACAACATAAAATATGTGAAAATTCAAATACCTCTTCATCCACTTACTAGCCTAATTAATTCATTATTTTCATTTATTTATTCCTTTTAAAATCTTCCATTAAGTCATTTAACAAATATTTGTTCTTTGACTTCTAGATACAAGGCACTATGCTCTAGGTGCTATATGAAATACACATCTGTATGTCATATGGCTTTTTTCCTCTAAGAGCTGGACTTTAAAGGACATGAGGCTATTAGGTAGAAAGAGGACCAGCAAGACAATTCCAGGCTTGGTGGAAAAAGACATAGAATTAGGAAGGGTAATGGTATGCTTGTGACATAGGAAAGAAACAAATTTGACAGGAAAGAAGGGTTTTTATAGGGAATAACAGAAACTAAAAGCAGGCAAGAGCTATGTCATAGATAGAATGCCACAGATTCTAGTACAACTTGTTTGAACTTTATAGGGAGTGTGGAAGGAACTATTAAAGTTTTTGTTCAGGTGACTAAAATGACTTTTTTAAGATTAATTTCATGTTGGTACGTGAAATTGATATGCAGAGGAGGTCATATCTTTGTGAGTTTTACACAAGATTTTAAGTAGAGAGATGAATTAGGAAATATTATTGCAGTATTCCAGGCATGAGATGATGTTGACTTGACCAAGGGCATATAATTTTCTTCTTTTTTTTTGAAGGGTGGTGGTAGGGACCATGAAACTGCAAGTTTCTGTTATGTGTACCTTGCATTTCCTTTTAAGTAAATAATAAATTCCAACATGTATCTTTCAAAGCTATCCTGTTTGTATTTCCTTCTGCCTTACCTTCTTTTGTATATACAATGTTTCAGTGAATCTTATTTCTTTTATTTTTTTATTTTTGGCAACGCTGGCCTCAAAAATCAAATTAAAAAAAAAAGAAAGAAAAACAAACAGAAAAAAACCCTTAGCAAATGTGCATAGACAATCAAAACCAATTACTGTATTCACTGTGTCTGAAAATGTATGTCTCATTCAGCACCTTGAATCCTTCTCTGTGAGGGTATAGTTTTCAAGTATGTGGTGTGTTAGAGTTAGCTCTCATGCTTAAAGGATGATTTTTAAATTTTGAGTATGAGCATTCAAACCTCAGAAATCACAAAATGCTGTTGATCAGGGCTTGGTTTATTTATTGTTCTGGTGATTGAATAGATTTAAGAAAGTGGTAGATAAGAGTGGGTTGAACATACAATTCTTCCTGCCCCCTCCTCCTGTTCCTTCCTAGAAAGCCAATTGTTAAAAATTTACTAGCACATCCTTGGATATAAGGACCTAAAATGAGAGGAGAGTTATAATAATGGAGGTTGACAAATACTTCAAATTATTTATAGCAGCACTTTCTGTGATAGCTGAGAAGTGGAAACAAAGTAGGTACCCATCCATTGGGGAATGCCTAAGTAAATTGTGATACTTGAATGTTTCGGAATATAATTGTGCTATAAGAAATGATGTGTGTGATAAATGAAGAGAAGCATGGAAGAATCTATAGTGATTGATAGAGTTGAAGTAAGCAGAGCTAAGACAACTCTATACACAGGGACAACAACATAAATTAAAAGAATAACCACATGCCCCAAATCAAAAGTTAATGTAACATCATTCTCAAGATAAAGCAGAACTGGAATGGAGAGATAAGAAATTCCCTGGCCTACTTACCACTTTGTGGAGGGGAGAGTTCCACAGGTGTTGCACATTGCATATGGTTTTGGACTTCTTCAGTGGATCAATCATTGTGCTGAGTTCCTTTTTCCTAGAATACTATTTGTCATATGGATGGCTTTCTGGGAGGGATGGGAGGAGGATACTTGTGATAACAATGGCAGTGTAAGAAACAGAAAATATCAAGAATTTTTTTAAATGAAGATTGAATTGTAACCATAATTATTATGTTTGAAATATAGTGTTTTGATTGCTAATATATTCAACAAACATTTATTGAGTACTTATCATGTGCAATGTATTGTGTTAAGCATATATAATACAGTTGTTGCCCTGAAGAAAATGTTTTAATCAGGAAGATATGAGAGGTATAGGAATAAGTACAATACAAGGCAGTATGATATAAGGACCACAAAAATAGAATAAATCAATTGTTTTATGAGTTAAAATGAGGTTGTGTGATCAAAGAAGGCTTCTTAAAGGAGATGATATTTTAGCTGGGCCATTTATGGTGGAAAAAATTTTGAAAGCCAATGATGAGGGATAGGGATGAGAGGATGGCAGATGGGTGGGAAGGAATGGCAGAAGTAAATTATGGAGGTATGTTCAGAGAATTTTGAATGGTCCAGTTTGGCCAAAAAGATTATGACAAGGCCATAATAGGAGGAGATCCTGGTGGTATAGTACTTTAGGTTCAGATGGTAGGAGGTTTTGAAAGCTGCTGAGTTTGACTTTATTTGGAAAGCAAAGAGGGAAGTAGGCAGTAAAAGTTGTTAAAATTTCCATAAGATTTTAGTAGTTTGATATACAAAGTTATAAATATATATCTTCTCCCATATAATGTATATAGACTTAATATTAAAAAACATTTGCTATGTTATTTGAGCAAAAATATTTACAGAAACATCTTTTATTTCTAGAATGCCAACTCATGAAAACAGAACGACCAAAGCCAAATACATTTATTATCAGATGCCTCCAGTGGACCACTGTTATAGAACGAACATTTCATGTGGATACTCCAGAGGAAAGGTCACTTGCCTTTTTTTTTTTTTTTGTAAGTTTGGAGGGTGGTTATCATTCACTCCACAGGTAGATAATTGGCTTTATACCTATAAATGTACTTTTTGTATAGTTGTCATTTGCTTCTTTGTGTTCTTTTTTTCAATTATGATAGATAAATAAGTAGACCTGGTAAATTACAGAAACAGACCTTGAATAGGAAGCACAATGCTAAAAAAAAAAAAAGGAAGAATGAATATTTTACTCAAGTAAATTGTTCTCTTTTTCCTTAAAACAGATAATGTGAATTCAATTTTGCATGTTCACTAAAATTAATTTTTTTTACTTTTACTTTTCTTAGAATACTACTATTCTAAGCTGACCTGTAAGAATTTCTTCTTTAGCCTCCATAGGATAAAACATTTTTGAAATTTGTTTCAGACTGTTTCATGTTTAGGTTCATAAATCTATCAATAGGATGTAGCTCATAAGAGAAAACAGAACTTTTTAGAAATCAAACTCTTTCTACCTATTTCAGGTTTCTCTACTTCAGTCTGTCCTTCATTCAGCTATCATCAAAGTGAGGCTTCCCATTATCTCCAGGATCAAATAAATATGTCTTGATTTGGTTTTTATGCTCTTTCATAACCTGTCCCCAGCCCCATACCTTTTCAGTCTTATACTTTCTTTCCTTCCATGGACTCTGTATTCTGGTGGCACTGGCCTTCTTGCTGTTCCTCGCACCAGACATTCTACCTCCTGCTTTTTCTCTGACTGTCTGCTGTGCCTGGAATGTTTTCCTTTCTTATCTCTGCCTCCTGGATTCCCTGGCTTGCTTCAGTTCACAAATAAATTCTCACCTTCTGCAAGGCTTTCCAGGTCCCCTTTAATGTCAGTATCTTTCCTCTGAAATTACCTCTGATTTACTCTGTGTGTGTGTATCTGTGTGTGTGTGTGTGTGTGTGTTTGTGTGTGTACATATATACATATATGTGTGTATACATATATACACACATATTTGTATGCTATACATATGCATATATATGTATGTATATATATATATATATACATACATGCATATATATTCAAACACACACACACACATGCTGTTTTCACATGCCTTTATCATCAGAATGTGATGTTATTGAGACCATTTCTCTGTATCCCCAGTGCTTAGTACAGTGCCTAATGCATAGTAAGCACTTAACTCTTGATTCTTGGTTGACTTATAACCAAACTACTTCCATTTGAGAAATGATTAGATACTTCTGTTTTCTCATTTATGGCAGCTAGGTGATATAGTGGGTAGAATGCGGGGCCTGAATTCAGGAAGTTCAGAGTTCAAATCTGGCCTTAGACACTTAGTAGCTATGTGACCCTGGGAGAGGCTCTTAATCTTTGCCTGCCTCTTTTCCTCATCTGCAAAATGGGAATAATTAACAGAACCTGCCTCCCATGAGGATCGAGTGAAATAATATTTGTAAAAAGTGCTTAGCACAGTGCCTGGCACATAGTAGGCACTTTATAAATGCTTGTTTCTTCTACCTTGCAGTTCCCCTCTCCAACACGCGCGCGCGCACACACACACACACACACACACTCACGGTTAAATCCTTAGGCAAAATTGTTACGGCACTCACTGGTGATTTGAGCAATAATTTCTATTGAGTCCAAAACACGTCATTCAATTACACTAAACATCCAATAATCAATATCACATTATGCTCTTTGTAAGACAAAAACAGTATTATTTTATTTCCTTTAGTGGCTGTCTTTATCTGTCCTTTATCTCTTCTTTGAACAGTTAACTGTGAGTTATCTATTTGGGATCAAGGAGACAAGTGGCATGAGTAATTCAAACATTGAATAATCACCAAATTATTTATTATTGACATTTGAGTGTGTTTTTGCAGTTATATTTGGATATGAATGTATCAGATACTTGGAGAATTCATTATACTTTTTCAAAATAGTGAAACCGGTATTGCAAAAATTGAACTAAACTGGAAAAATATTTATTTTCTTTATACTGTGCCGTCCCTTTCTAGTTATTCCCATTATTCCGCCCTCCATGTTGGGAGTGAATGAGATTACTGCTCAGATTGATCAAAAGCACCATCCTAAAGCAAAGCTGTGGTGTTTGAAAATTATTACTGAAAAATCTGAGGTTCTTAATAGAAATTCTTAGGAAGCACAGAGGCTTCTGAACATCATGTGTGAATTTATGAGGGAAAGGAATATTCCATTTTTTCTAGACTTCTCAGTTACCTAGACATGATTTAGAGGGGCAGTGTTAACTCCCTGTTTCTTTGATGTTGTTGAGATTTTTTGGTTGTTTTTTTTTTTAATTGCATTTTTGTTTTTTCCTTTTCTTTTTAAACATATCGGGCAACTTCTATTGTATATTTTCCTTTCTTTGGACATGTGTTTCCTCCTCCAGTCCTGTCTTTTCCTTTAAACAATTTTGTGCAAAGACCATAGGATTTGACCATTTAAAAAATAACTTGAGATAAGATTGATATTTTTCCTGCCTGGTCTGTTTGTTTTAGAGGTTTCTTACAATATCAACTCCTTTTAGTTTAGTCCATGTAGTTAATTTTTTTAACTATTAAATTTTGAGATCGATTTGGATTTTGGGTACATTGTACTGTCAATCATTAAAGATTAATTTGGTTACTGCTCTGTTTTGTTCCATATATGTAATATACTATTCAGTTTTATCCAGCATCTGGAGGTCTAGATGGCCTTCACAGTTTTGTTGAGCTAATAAAATCAATCAGCTTTGGTTTGGATGTACTATAGGAAGTGAGTTCAAGTGATCTTGATTCTTAACTCTTAGCCCCCATAGAATTTTTAAAGTAGGACATAGAATTTCTAAAACTTAAGCCTATTTTAAAAAAGTGTTCTCTTACATTTCCAGCTGGGCAAATACCAAGTAAAGATCCTGATTGTATTTTTTTAAAAGGGTATAATTATATCAGAAATTGAAAATTTGATGCAAAAAGTCATAATGTAATTAAATTCATTATAGATAATTGAGAATAAATGGGACTGCTTTTTGAATTTAAAATTTTAAAATATTTTTCACCATAGTCCATTTTTGGGCCTCTTTTAACTACTTCTTTGCCTCCTCCCCCCTCCCCACCCCATACCTATAATCACCAACGTTTAGCCTCTGCTGCTGAACTCTTTTAGAATTAGTCTTTTCTTCAGCACAAACTATATGTGAGTCAGATTAGTTGTCTTTACCTAGTTCTACAACTGGAAACTATTTGTGCCTTTTTTCTAATCTTCTATTAACGGGAAGTTTCATTTACGATTCTTAGGGAAGAATGGACAGAAGCTATCCAGGCTGTAGCAGATAGACTTCAGAGGCAAGAAGAGGAGAGGATGAACTGTAGTCCAACTTCACAAATTGACAATATAGGAGAGGAGGAAATGGATGCTTCTACAACTCATCATAAAAGAAAGGTAGGAAAACACAATGATGACTTGTTAAACTATTCAACACATCCCTAATTTGCCTAGAAGAAATATGCTAAAAAGTGCTATTTGTAAAAAGGCGTCAGTCAGTTACCATATGATATGCAAACATATGGGGTGGTTCTATTCAGGTGAGGCTAAACTGTCTTGTGTTGTTTAAAAACAAATTAACTGCAATATCACTTTGTTTCTATGGTTCAGCCCTTTTAGCACTGAATGCTGATGTGGTTTATTGTTAAGGAGTTGTGACTGATATGCCAAGAAGCAAAAGGATACTGTTAAGTACTGTACCACTTTATACATTTGAATTTTTCTCCTTGTTTTTAATACTGTTTAGAAACTTGGAAATAAATGTCTTTTCCTAATGACTTGGTCCTTTTCCATTTGGCATTCTATGTTTTTCAGAAAGCAGAAACAGAAATGGTTCTGGTTTACTTCCTTGTTGGTGCCCTAACATCTTTGATGTCAGCAGGAGAGTGAGCAGTCTGGGAAATAGAGCCTTTTTTTTTTTGGAAAGCTGCTTCCCCTGAGCTGATGCCGGGGAAGCAAAGGTTTTTTCTCCTTCTTGTTTCAGTCTACCAAATAATGGCTGTCAGTTTACATATTTTTATGACAGTGATACATATTTTCCCCCCCAGGATTATAGAAAATTAAGAACCCAATTACTTTTAAAGGAAATGTCATTTTAAGAGACACCTAAAGAAATAAGTGTTGTCATTTTTATAATGCAATTTTTATTAGTTCAGGCTCTGAGGGTGCTTGGGAGGAAATATTACTTAGGTTATGTCACCGATAGACCCAGGATGTTAGTGTCAGAAAGGCCCTCACAGGTCCCTTAAGAAGATTCCCTACCCTTGGAACCACTTAAAACTTGCAGACCACTGGAACTAGCTCTGAAAATAGCAGCACAAAAAAGCATGAAGCTTAGTACAGTGCCTCCCCATTCCCAAGGTGAACAGAGTCTAATTTTAATGCAAAGATCAAAGTAAAGAAATGTGCTGGGAAAGTGAGCAAACAGCAAAAAAGAACTTAACCATAAAAGCTACTGCAGTGTCAGAGAAGACTAAGACATAAACTTTGAAGACAATAATGTGATAAAAGGTACAAGCAAAGCCTCAAAGAAAAGTGCTAATTAGACCCAAAGCCTGCAAGAATTCTTGACAGAATTAAAGAAGGAGATAAGAGTAGTAGAGGGAAAATTGGGAAAAGAAATGAAAGTGAAAAATTTTGAAAAGAGAATTAACAGCTTGGTAAAAGAGGCAAAAAATACTGAAGAAAGTAAAACCTTAAAAAACAGAATTGACCTAATCATAAAGGATGCACAAAAATTCACTGAAGAGAAGAACTCTCTTAAAAGCAGAGTAGGCCAAATGAAAAAGGAGGTACAGAAGTTCACTGAAGAAAAGAACTCCTTAAAAAGCAGAATTGGCCAAATAGAAAAAGAGGTATAAAAGCTCACTAAAGAAAATAATTCCTTAGAAATTAGAATTCAGCACCTGGAAACTAATGACTCCCATGAGACTTCAAAATCAATCCAACAAAGTCAGAAGAATGAAAAAATAGAAGAAAATGTGAACTATCTCATTGGGAAAACAATTGACCAGGAAAATAAGTCAAGGAGAAATAATTTTAAAATTATCTGGACTAACTGAAAACCATAAGTAAAAAAGAGCCTACATATCATATTTCAATAAATTATTACAGAAAACTGCCCCGATATCTTAGATCCAGTAGGTAAAATAGAAATTAAAGAATTCACCTTTCACTTTCAGAAAGAGATCCACAAATGAAAACTTCCAGGAGTATTACAGCCACATTCCAGAGATTCAGATCAAGGAGAAAATATTGCATGCAGCTAGAAGGAAATAATTAATATATGGTGGAGCCACAGTCATGATTATGCAAGATTTAGCAGCTTCCATAATAATGGAGTGGAGGGCATGGAATATGATATTCTAGAAGGCAAAGGAGCTAGGAATCAAGAATAACCTATCCATCAAAACTGAATATAATCCTTAAGGGGAAAAATAGTTATTTAATGATGGAGGACTGCCAAGCATTCCTGATGAAAAGACTAGAGCTGAATAGAAAATATTACATTTAAACATAAGTCAAGAGAAGCATAAAAAGGTAAACATGAAAGACTAATCATAAGGGACTTAAAGTTAAACTGTTTACATTCCTATTTGGGAAGATGATACATGTAACTCTTTAGAACTTTTATCATTATTAGGGCACTTAGAAGGAGTCTACATAGAGGACATGAATGTAAGTCAATTATGTGGGATGATCTAAAAAAAATGTGGAGCTGAGAAAGAGGAGTGCACTGGGAGAAGGGGGAAGGGAACAGTAGATTGGGAAAAATTATCTAATGTAAAAGAAGCATACAAAGAAGAGCTTTTATAGTGAGAAGGAAAATGGGGGGTGGGATGCCAGGCAGGGCTTGAACCTTAATCTTACTTGAATTGGTTTAAAGAGGGAAGAATACATATACAAACTCTGTTGGATATAGAAATCTATCTTATACAATAGGGAAATAGGAGGGGAAAGAGATAAGTTGGTTTTTTAAAAATTTTAGAAGCAGGTTTCATATTCATACTATTAAATTTCATCTTGTATTCTTATTAGATTTGTCCCATTGTTTCTGCTTATTAAGATCCTTTGAGATATTCTTTTATCTGAAATATGATCTGTTCCCTGCTACCTCTGTCAGCAAATGTTACAAGCATGTCATCAAAGTCTCCATTCTAAGCATTGATAAAAATATTTAACATGAAAGGGCTAAGGACAGAGCCATGTCATTCCAATAGAAACCTTTTTTCCAGTTTTGAACCTTTCTATTAATCAAAATTTTTGAATGGGGTTATTTAGGTAGTTAATAATCTATCTGACTTTACCAACTCTTCAGTCTCCTTTGCTAATTCATCATCCTCCTCACTACTCTAACTGTTGTTATTCTTCAAAGCTTTGACCTGGGTACTCTTTTCTCGTCTGTCTATATTTTTTCTGTAACCTCATCAGTTCCCATAGGTTTTACTATTTCTATGCACATAGCTTATAGGTCTATAGCTGTAGTCCCAGTCTCTTCCTTAAGCTTTAGTTCCACATCGCCAGTTGCCTGTTGGACATTTCAAACTGGATATTTTGGAGACATCTCAAACTCAGCCTGCCAAAAACAGAATTTGTTGCCTTTCCTGCCAAAAGCACCTATTTTCCAAACATCCCTATTTTGCTGAAGGTACCACCATTCTTCCGGTGTCTTAGGCTTGCCTTAGTATTATTCTAGAGTCCTCACTCCCTCTCACTCCTGTATTCCTAATTAATTGCCACATCTTCCTATTTCTACCTTCACAATATCTCTTGCAGTCAGCCTCTTCACTCCATTCACACAGCTATCACCTTAGTTCAGGCCCAAATCAGTCAATATATTTTAATCAGTCAGTATTTTTAAGTGCCTATTATGTGCCAGGCACTGTGCTAAGTGCTGAGGATACAAAAAGAATCAAAAGACACTCCTCACCCTCACGGAACTTCTAATCTAATGGGGGAGGCAACATGCAAACAATATATACGAAGCAAGCTATATATAGGATAACTAGGAAATAATTTACAGAGAGAAGGCACTGGAATTGAAGTTGCCTATAGAAGATGGGATTTTAGTTGGGATTCAAAAGGAGGCTAGGAAAGCCACTAAGTGGAGATGAAGAGGGAGAACATTCAAAATATGAGGTAAAGCCAGAGAAAATGCCAAGAGCTGACGGATGGAGTGTCTTCTTTGTGGAACAGCTGGGGCAGAGGGGCTGTGTTTCCTGAATCAAAGAGTACGTGTTGGCAAATAAGGTATAAGAAGACTGGCAAGGTAGGAGGGCGCTAAGTTTTGAAGGGCTTTGAATGCAAATAGCGTATTTTTTGTATTTGTTTTGGAGACAATAGGGAGCTATTGGAGCTTATTTAATTGAAAGAGGATTGACATGATTGAACCTATGCTTTAGGAAAATTATTTTCATGGCTGAATAGAGCTGCATTGGAATGGAGAGAAACCTGAGGCAGGTAGACCCAACAGCAGGTTGTTGCAGTAGTCTAGACATGAGGTGATGAGAGCTTGTGCTGGAATGGTGGCAGTCAGGTGAGAAAGGTTTTATTGGAAATGTTGCACAGAAATTGACAAGCCTTGGCAATGACTTGGGTATGGGGGGCTAAGGATATTGAGGAATCTCACATATATTATTACAACAACATCCTAATGGGTCTCTGACTCACATCTGTCCCCACTCCAGTCTAGCCTAAACACCAATACCAACATGATTTTTCTTAGAGATAGACCTGGCCATGTGACTCTCCTACTGATCAACTCCTTTGGTTCCTGGCCTAACCTTTCTGTTCTCAACCTTCTTTGTCTTTCTGAAGCCTTTCTATTCATCAGCATCTTTTCCTTGACACTCTTTTCTCTCTAGGTTTTCCTAACATTACTCTCTCCTAGTTCTCCTTTGCTGTTTTTTCTTTTTTTTTTTTTTTAATCTAAGTCACACTTGCTAACTATGGGTATCCCATGGGGCTTCATCCTGGGCTCTCTTATCTTTTCCCTCTATATTATTTCACTTGTTGCTCCCAGCAGCTCCTATAACTTCAGTTATCATCTCTATGCTGATGATTTTTGAATCTTTTTATCCAGTTTCAAAGTTTCTAACTCTCCTTTATTCTCACATTTCCAACTGCCTATTAAACACCTTGAACTGGATTTTTTGTAGACATCTTAAACTCAGCATGTCCAGAACAGAGTTCATTATTTGTCCCTCAGACCATCCCTTTTTCCTAACTTACTTATTACTATTGAGGACACTGGCATCTTCCATGTCAACCAGGCTTTCATCTAGGTGTTATGCTCAACTCCTCACTCTTACCTTCTGTATACAGTCTGGTGCTAATTAATGTCAGTTTTTCCTTCATAGCAACTCTGCTCATGTACCTTTCCTCTGACCACTGTCATCACTCTGGTGCTGGATCGTGATCCTAAGTGATGACCTCATGCCTAGATTATGGCAATATCAGACTGAATGGTTTCCTTGCCATAAGTCTTCCCATTCTATTCTGTCTTCCATTTGGCTGTCAAAGTATTTTTTCCTAAAGTGTAAGTTGGACACCATCATAACCTATTTCCTCCTCCCTATCCACCTTTGCAGACTTCTTATATTTTCTCTTCACCTTCAGTTCCTCCCCCACCCCCATGTATTCTGTGATCCAGTCACCTTGGCCTCCTTATTGTTCCTTAAACAAGACTCTCAACCTCCCAACTCGTTTTTTTCACTGGCTTTTCCTGTACCTGGAATGCTCTCTCTCCTCATTTCCAACTCTCATTTTTCCTGGCTTTTTTCAGCTTTCCGCTAAAATCCCACTTTCTACAGGAACTTCCTAATCACTCTTAAACCTGGTGTCTTCTCTCTGTTTATCATTTCCAAACAATTCAAAACACATTTTCTTTTTGTTCTTTCCACTCAGAATCAGACAAGCATCTATTTCTTACATCATTCTACTATTTGTCAGGCGTTATGCTAGGCTCCATTGTGTCATGGTTGTATACTGGACTTGGAGTCAGAAAATTTGAATTCACATCCTGCTTTTGTCATGTTTTACTTTTGTGAAGTTGAATATGTTACTAAACCACTCTGGGCCTCATTTTTCTCATCTGTTAAATGAGAGGTTTGGACTGGATGAGAAGAACTCTAATACTTAATGTCATTATCAGAATAATTCCTTTAAATAAGCATACTCATAAAATGATCACTTTATACATATCAGTGAATGATTTACATAATTAAGTTACATAAATGACATCTAGATTTTAAAATTAAATTCTTTTATGTCATAAACTTAGTATTTTTGAAAAAAATATTAAGAATATTTATCCTATCATTATTCTCTATGAACTTTTGGTAGGAGGAAACAGGAAGCAGAAGGGCAGGAAGTGGAGAATTGACTCATAGTTCTTTGTGCTGAGTAGATGCAAGAGTATCTAATGCCCAGATACACAGACATTTAATACAAAAATATTGCTGTGGTATATTTGCCTTGGTAATTTCTGATAAGCAGGAGGCTTGTCTCAGGTTATTGCTTGACATGACTAAATTATTACCGCAGGTCTTCTCTCCTCTAGTCTGCTTTGGATTGGCCAAGACAGGATCCCAGAGTTCTCCACTATGACATATATCCCACTTATAAGATTATAAATTACAGGGTTTGGAATATATAATTTTACTTTTTTGGACAACTTTGCTAAGTCATATCTTGTATACTAAGTGGTATCTTATTTCTTTACCTAAAAATGAAAATAAAAGCATTTATTTGTAATAGAGTTTGAATTGTCCTTTACTGTGAATATATATTTAATTTTAATATCTAAATTGTTAAATTAGATTATAAATCTTATTCTTCATTTCTTAATTTTTGTGCCTTTTCTTTTTTCTTTCTTTTGTTATACTTTTTAAGAGAATGTGTGCTTTCCTTGACTAGGAAAATAGTCTAAAGAATATATAGGATATATAACATTAGTGGTACTAAGTCTTCAACTTATCAAAATATGTAACTTAATAAACTGTAATTTTAATAATTCTTAAGGTTAGTGATTGGAAGACTAATCTTAAGGAAAGTTTTTACTCTCTCAATTAAAATACAAGTTTTTGCCTTGCCCTTTGATACCCTGCACAAAGGAAAATCTTTTGTTATCTAAGCAATGTATCTTGGTTAGAATACTAAATCAAGTTACATTCAGATTGCAAAATCTAGACAAATACTTTGTAATTTTGGCAGAATATGAGCATTTGGTTACAGTGATGCTTTTTAAATATTCTGAAGAGTTTTGTCAAAATAGATCTGAAGTCTGTTTCTGACTTTGTCACTAGGATTTTTTTTTTTTACTAATATTTATTGCTATGCAAAATGCATATTACAAAGAAAAAAAGGTTGACAGTCAAACTGACAGAAGCTGTGAAATTCAGAATTAGGCCTGTCATACTTTTTTTTTTACCTTATTATACCTAAGAATTATAGTTCTTATGGCAAGTTGTCATATCTCAAAATTATTTCATCTTTCCTCTGAATTCCAAAGCATTTTATATTTTTTTATTTATACTTATTATCTGTGAATTAGGTCAGAGTAAAGTGATTGCATTATTTTTCTTTGATATATAGGCATATTTCTTTCTTTCTCTTTTTCTCTTTTTTTTGGGGGGGGGAGTTAGCCAGTTGGGGTTAAGTGACTTGCCCTGGGTCACACAGCTAGTAAGTGTCAAGTGTTTGGTCTGAGGTCGTATTTGAACTCAGGTCCTCCTGACTCCAGCTGCCCCCTAACAAATATTTATTAAGTGTTTACTATATGCCAGGAATTGTGCCAAATGCTGGGAATAAAAAAAAAAAAAGGCAAAAGATAGTCCCTGTCCTCAATAAGGTCACATGGAGGCATGATGAAGTCATGCAGCTACAATGGGAAATAATCCGAGGAGGTGTGAGTTACAAAGTTGAATTCATTTTGTGGAATTATGAGTGTCTGGAGATCATGAAATCCAGGAAATCAGCAAGGTAGGAAATGATGAGGTGAATTTTCTGGTGTCCTCCTCAGAAGGAGGGGCTAGGAGAAGCTGCAAGATGTCCACCCACATCCCCTACCCGCTTCAACCAGAGGGAAGGAGGGACTCTAGATGCAGTAAGTGCTGAGGAAGTATTAGTTTCAGAGTTGATTTCATCTTGCAGGATGATAAGTTTTGGGAGAATTCATATTCACACTACATACAGTATACCACATATTCAAATGATGTAATGTTCTTCTTACAACTATATTAAATATTTAGATATCCATTTTTAATTTATTCTCAATTAGAAATTGGGTATGACCATTGAATAAATAGCTTTTTTTTTCTGCACTGCAAACTATGTTCATAATCAGTGATACTCAATTATCATTAACAAAAATTTATTAATTGTCATTGTGTAAGGCATTTTATGGAAATGCTGAGAATGTAGAAGATAGAAAATGTAATTTTTAAGTGTCATCCTCTTGACTAGTAGTAAAAGGGAAAAACTAAGAGTTAAAAGAGGCAAAATCAAAACAAACTTATGATAACACCCTATTGACTATAGAATAAAGTCCAAGTACCTTACTTAGCCTTTCATTCAAAGCCCCCCGCAGTACAGCCTTTAGTTTCCTTTCAAGTTTTTATCACTACTATAAATTAACCTTTCATGGGACCCAAAAAAGTATTCTCATTGTTTTTCTGATATGTCTCTTACATTTCTATCTTCATGTATTTGCTCAAACGGAATTCTATTTACTTACCTCTTTATCAAAATCCTGTGTGTTTTTCAATTATAGAAAAGCTCAAATACCCCTTTTCCTACCTCTTTCAGAAAGTCTTCCCCAACTATCTCAGCCTGACTTATACTGAACCACTCAATGGGCTTTTATATATATATATGTAGCTGTTTAGACACACACACACATGCCTGCAGACCACTGAATTGTGTCTTGAAGTTTTTGTGGGCCCCACAATAATAATGATGGTGATAATAATGATAATAATGATAATTGCTAACATTTAGATAGTCCTTACTATGTGCCAGGCACTATGCTAAGCATGCTATTATTATCTCATTTGATTCTCACAACAACTCTGAGAGTTAGTTGGTATTATTATCTCCATTTTACAAATAGGGAAACTGAAGCATCTAATTGACGTGCCCAGGGTTACAGAGCTAGTATGTTTCTCAGGCCAAATTTGAACTCAGATCTTTCTGACTCCAGGTCTAGTGTTCTATCCATTGCACCACCTAGCTGCCCCCATAGAACCCAGCATGGTGTTTTGATTAGCACATGTGTGCTTGATCAAAATGTAGGTTTTTTTCCTTAAATAAAGCTTTATTCATTTATTTAAAAAACATTTATCAAGCAGCTGGTATATACTAGACACTGTTGTCAGAAGATACAAAGACAAAAATGAAACAGGCCCTGCCTCAAAGAATTTACTGGGAAAAAACGTCATATGCCAGATAAGTCATCATAAGATAAAGTGAATACAAAGCAATAGAGGGGAGAGCATTGATAACTAGGGGGAATTAGGAATGGCCTCATGCAGGAAATAGCATTTGAGTAGAGCCTAAAAGGAAACTAGAGATTAAAAGAGGAGAGTAGGGAGTATATTCCAGGGATGGGAGGCAACATTTACATATTTATGTAAGTGGGAGATGGAATGTTGTATATGGGAGATAGCAAGTATATTTTTGGCTGGAACCTGGAGTGTGTGAGGGAAAGTAATGTAAAATTTACTGGAATGATAGGTTAGAACCATATTTTAAAAATCTTTAGATAGTTTGAGACTAAAGTCATATTTTGCTGACTTAGCTACAAAATATTAAAATGTCAATATTTAGTATTCAGTTTGTATTGAGTTAATTTTATATCTAAGCATCTATTTGTTTATGTAAATCAATTACATGCTATCATAGTGGCTGTGCCATTTTTTATGTGACCTTAAGAAAAATTTGAAACTTCTCCAGGCCTGATATCTATAAAAAGAGAGATCTTTAAAATACACTTCAGTTCTGTGATGATTCTATGAACCATTCATTACTCAATTTTCATTACTCATTTTTCATTTGTCCCTTTCCAGACAATGAATGACTTTGACTATTTGAAACTGTTGGGTAAAGGCACTTTTGGGAAAGTGATTTTGGTTCGAGAGAAGGCAAGTGGAAAATATTATGCTATGAAGATTTTGAAGAAAGAAGTAATTATTGCAAAGGTAACCTATTTCCCCCTTCCTTCAGAAATTTTATCCTGTGAAGTAGAAATTTTCGCTTTCACTATCATACAATCGATAAAGTTGTGCTTCCTTTAAAGTAAAATCTGATTTTTAATATTTATTTCATAATTTGGAAAATACATAATAATAATACAGCTACTGATATTCTTAAAGAATAATAATTTTATTTTAAATATGTGGAAATGCAACATTATTTTCTGTGTAACTTATTGTATGAACAGTATTAAAATATTTTGCATTAAAAAGCACTGGAATTCTGAATTCAGTATTATTATTCAAATTCAACATGCTATGATTGGAATTGTTTAGCACATTTATGGCCCTATAAGGTAGACAAAAAGTGAATTTTTAAAGAAAATTAAGGGGGTAGATTCTTAGGCTTATGAGGGAAGGCCACTGTAGGCTTTGACATTCTGTTGCATAGCTTCTGAATTCCCCTGATGACTACGTTAAGCTTAAAACTTCTGTTGTTTGTTTTTTGTTTTTTGTTTTTTTTAGGCAATTAGGGTGAAGTGACTTACCCAGGGTCACACAGCTATAAGTGTTAAGTGTTTTGTCTGAGGCCGGATTTGAACTCAGGTCCTCCTGACTTCAGGGCCGGTGCTCTATCCACTGTGCCACCTAGCTACCCCAGAACTTCTTAATAAAGTATCTTGTTAATTATTCTAGTACCTTTTTCCTAGCACTGATTTACCTCTAGACTAAAATTTATTGTCTTTTCCTGTGTACCAAAAAAACTGTTTCCATTCTAATCAAGAGTTCTGTCTTTGAAATCACTGTACATTACTTCTTGATCTGGAATATTTGCTTCCCTTCCTCCTGCCAAACCATGTCCTTTCTTGATGCCTAAGTCTGTTCCAGGTTTACCAACTTTTTATTGCCCATTATGTGTAAGGCGCTGTACTTGGTACTGGAGGAGATATAGTCTGGAAATAATTAAAATATGTTCATTTTTTCTAAGGAGCTTCAATTCAATCTCCTTGGGAAATTAAATACATACATGTAATGGATATGTATCAGTAGTTCAGCCAACTTATCCTTTCTCCTTTTCTCTTCTGAAGGAAGCCAAAATGTGCATCCTTTCCAAAAAAGAATGTGTTGGAAATTTGTCCCCCTGACCAAAAAAGAAAAAAGAATGTATAGGAACTTCTGGGGTAGTAATCTTGACTAGGGATGCAGTGTGGGAGAAGAACCAGGTTACCACTGCAGACTGAGTAAGTGTTATGCTCTAAAAGTTTGGGAGTACGTCTGGGCTAGGCTGGGCTAAACTGGACTGAACTGAACTGAAGTGAAGTGAAGGAGTTATTCAGACTGCCAGGGCTGTGTTGAAATACATGAATTCTGGGGCAAAGGAACTTGCTACTGTTTGTTGGCGTCAAGCATACCCATCAGAGCCTGAGGAGAGATACTCAGCCTGAAATCTCTAGGAAAGATGCTAAACCTGTAGCTGTAAATGAGGCCATGAAAATTTAATATAGTACTGTGAGTTTGTGACACTTCTTTTAATTTCATAGGAGAGAGTATTTCTAAGTGCTCTGCCAAGGATTCTCATATAAGTCCTGTCATTGTTCTTTCCTGATTTAAATAAGCCCATTCTATGTTAAGTTAGTTTTGTTAGCTTGAGGGCTTGCAGGGGAGTGGAAGATCCTTTGACAGAAATAAGCCATTTAAGTGTTAACTCTTTGAATTAACTCAGGGGATCACTATTAGTGTTTAATATATAGCTAACATTCTCGTCCTTGCCCCTCCATTTCTTTCCCTTTTCCTTTGTCCCAGAACATCAATGTGTATATATGAGTATCCATCACCCTGTAATTGTTTACCAGACTTGTAGTATAGGATGATTTCTGCTTTCAGTTTCCATGAAAGAGGTTTATTTGGGAGAAGGAGCAGGATAATGTTTTGAGGTGAAAAAGAAATTGTAAAGGAGGAGATTTGAAGGATGACATGGCATATATTAAAAACCATACCATGAATATATTACAAGACAAGCAGGATACATATTTCTCTGTGCTATGGTTTTTCTTAACCCACTAGGATGGAAGCAACTACAAAAGATAAAATAGATACTTTTAATTGCATGAAATTAAGAAACTTTCACATGAGTGCAGTAGATAGAGTGCTTGATCTGTAGTCAGGAAGATCTAAGTTCAAATCCAGCTTCAGACACTTACTAGCTGTGTGACCCTGGGAAAGTCACTTAACCTCTGCCTGTCTCAGTTTCCTTATCTATAAAATGGGAATAATAGTAGCACCTACCTCCTAGAGTAGTTGTGATGATCAAATGAGATAATATTTGTAAAGCACTTAGCATGGTGCTTGGCACATAGTAAGCATTATATAAATATTAGCCAATGGTGCTTACTGTCATTATCATTATCATTATCATTATCATTATCATTATCATTATCATATGTGAGATGAAAAGGAGAGAAGAGGGAGCTCTCAGCAAATAGCCTCAATATTTTCAGTGAAATATGAGGCCAGGTCCTCGACTGAGAGGGTTGGGGAGGGAGAGCCAGTTTAAGAAGTGATATAAAGTTTACAAAAGGCACAATGGTGAGTGGCATAGTGAGTCAATTAAGAATGAAAGCATTACTTTACTATAGTGAGGGCCTAATTGATATTAAGTAAAGTAAATTTGTAGCGGACCCAGGCAACATGGTCATTATTTTCTCCAGCTTTGTTCAGCAGCATTTGAGTAGGAGCAAAGGCAATATCTGGTGGCAGTAATCCAAGGCTGAGACTTGGCAGGGTAAGATCAATGTGGTAGGGTAAGGAATAAAGACCAGAGAGAAGAGGACAGTTTAGAGTTGAGCTGGTTTACCAAGGGGTCAAGATAGGGAAGAGAGGACAGTCCAGGGTTGACAGACCGGGAAAGCATCAACGGATTGAGGGATTAGAGGTCACAGTGAGGCCCAAGAAGAGGATTTGGGGTTACAAGGCATATAGAGAGGTGAAATGATGATAGATTGTGATCAGATAAAGAAATTTCATAGCATGAACATGGAAGTGGAATTAAAATGTCTAAATTGTTTGTCCCAAAGAGTTCACTGCTAGGCATATATCCCAATGAGGTCATTGACAAAAAGAAAGGCTCCATATGCAACAAAATATTCATACCAATACTTTTTATGGTTGCAAAGAACTGGATGCAAGTAGAAACCTAGCTATTGGGAAATGGCTAATTAAATTGAATTACATGAATGCAGTGGGATATTATTGTCCTATAAGAAACTAAGTATCCTGAGTACAAAGAAGATTATATAAAACTGATGCCAAGTGAAATAAGCAGAGCCAAGAAAATAATATACACAATGATTATAACTAGAACAATAACCACAAAATAATTCAAACTGAATATTGCAAAATTATAAAGGACAAGCTTAGTCTCAAAGTCTCCTCCTTTGTAGGGGTGGGGGGGTGGGTCCACAAGTGTGGAACATTGTATGTAATATTTTTATACATATACATAAAATATGTAATATTTTTATAATAGATTTATCAGTTGTGCTGATTTATTCCTCCTTTCCTCTTTAAAAACATTCTTTGTTCTCTGAGAGGGAGACTTGTGTCCCCCAGAGGAAGGATTTAGGTATGTGAAGTAAATGATTTCAATAAAAATCAATTTAAAAAAGAAAAGTAGTAGAAGGGGAAGCTAGGTGGCACAGTGGGTAAAGGGCTGGGACTGGAGTCAGGAAGACTGCTCTTCACAAATTGAAATCTGACTTCAGACACTTAGTAGCTGTGTCACTGAACCCTATTTGCCTCAGTTTCCTCATTTGTAAAATGAGCTGTCGAAGGAAACAGCAAGCCACTCCAGTATGTTTCCCCAAAAAATCCCAAATGGGATCATGAAGAGTTAGACATGACTGAAATGACTGGACAAGTAGAAGAAGACACAAAGATGAACAGGGAAGTTGAGATGACAAATTAATAAGTAAAGACAAAATGTTAGTAAGGCAATGGAATAGAATATGTGAGTGGTTTTCAAGATGTTAACAATGTCATTAACCTTTGGTGTCCCTCAGGATTCTGTCTTGTGCTCTCTTCTCTTCTTCTTCTTCTTCTATACTACTTCACTTGCTGATCTCATCAGCTCCTACGGATTTAATTAACAGTTCTATGCTGATGATTCTCCAGTCTGCCTATCTTGCCCCAGTCTTTCTGCAGACCTCCAATCTTACATTTCCAGTTGCTTTTCAGACATCTCAAACTGGATATCCATTAGTGTCTTAAACTCAGTATGTCCAAAACTGAACTCATTATCTTTCCCCCAAATATTCCCCTCCTTCTACCTTCTCTATTACTATAAAGGGTAATACCATGCTTCCAGTCTCTCAGGCTTGCAGCCTAGGGTTCATACAAGATTCTTCACTCTCTCTCACCCCTCATATCCAATCCATTGACAAGGTCTGTTGATTTCACTTTTGCAAAATTTCTTGCATATGCCTCCTTTTCCTCTCTAACTCTGCCACCTCTCTGTTGCAAACCTTCATCACCTTGATTATTGCAATAGCCCTGCTGGTGGGACAACCTGCTTCAGGTCTCTCCTCACTCCAGTCCATCCTCCATTCAGCCACTAAAATGATTTTCCTGTGCAGGTGGAGTCATGTCACTCCCCGTACTCAATAAACTCCAGTGACTTCTATTGCCTCCAGGAGCAAATACAAAATGTTCGGTTTGGCTTTCAAAGTCCTTCATAACCTACTCTCCCTCTGTCACCTTTCCATTCTTCTTATACCTTACCCCCTGATATGTACTCTTCCATCCAGTGACACTGACCTCCTGACTAATCCACATGAGGCACTTCACCTCTTGGCATTCTTCCTAGCTGTCCCCTGTACTTGAAATTCTGTCCCTCCTCTGTTTTGACTACTGACCTCCTTGGCTTCCTTTAAGTCCCAACTAAGATCCTCCTCCTTTATAAGAAACCTTCCCCAACCCCTCTTAATTTCAGTGCCTTCTCTCTTTTAATT